CCAAGGCCGAGTTTGCCTGAGTTGGATGCACAACTCGGCGATATAAAAAAGAATTTCAATTTTTTTTTTTGAAAAGAAGATGGATTGTTTTATAAACTTTATTTCATGATTTGGATATATTTGGTAGAGTTTGGTGATTATATTTTTGTTTGTTTTGCATTTTAAAATCTCCCAAGCTATGATTTTTCTTAAATCGAATTTTTCTATACATTTTTAAGCTTGTATTAACTTTTTAAAGTTCATCTAGGTTTGAATTGTTGGGATTGGTGATAGCTAAATCACTATACCAATATTTTCAAGGGTATTATGGTTAAAAAAAGATGATTTTTTTGGGAAGCAAGAAAGTAAAATTTATATATGGGAATAAAATAAGACATAGTATCCTATCCTTTTGAGGGTCACCCCTTCGCGGTTAAAGGAATGGATCTCCAATATATAGATGAGTCTCAAAGAGAGAGAGTTTGAAGGTCATCCCTTTGGGGGTTATGGGAATGGATCTCCAATATAGAGATGAGTCTCAAAGAGAGAGAGAAACATGTCTATAAGAGGTATTCCCATGAGTTTTGAGTTGGCTGAGGCTTCCGTTTCTAGAGAGAGAAAATCTCTCGGTTGCTCTCGAAGTTATCTTTTCGGTTGCGGTATTGCGGTGAGAAAGAAGGTATAGATCGATGGTGTTGATCGATCGGGAGAGCGAGTTTAGATGGGAAGATCGATGATAGTCTTTTATCAATGTTTAGAGATCTGTATTATTTCTTATGACCCAAAACTGTACTTTTCATTGTGATAGTAAATTTCTAGTTGCTGAGGCCGTGAATATAGCTCTACGGGGTGAGCCACGTAAATAGTGATTGTGGTGGTGTGTTTTTTTATGTTTGTTTTATTTCTTGTACTCGATTTATAATTGTATTCATCTATTTCGTATTTAGCTCATCATGTACACGATATTGGGTGGGATCTCGGTGTTTGGGATTCCCAGTTTTGCATGCTAGGGGTTCTCGAGAACTCTACAATTGGTATCAGAGTATAAGACGTATACAGGGCTAAGATTTATATAAAGAAAAAGATGAATGACAAAATTTGATGGATACATGGTTTGATATGGAGAAATATGGAGGCAAAGTGTTTGTGAAAACTCCACAATTGAGGCAAGTAAGAAATCGATTCAATGAAACTTGTCAAGGTAATTATGGTGATTTTGTTATTAAGGTGGAGATTGTTGGGTTTGGTGCATTATTCGCAAAATCGCCCCATCTAATCGCTAACCGCCCGGTTGGATCAGAACTGGCCAGTGGCCGGTTCCGGTTTTGGGCGGTTAGGGTGATCAAACGATATTTCAAAAAAGAAATTCAAAATAATTTATATAAATTATCAAAAATAAGGAATTTGATTTGTGATGTATTTTTAAATATTCGTTACATTATGGTAAAGATTAAATTTTTTTTGGCAATTAATACTCACTTTTATATGTTCTCATCTTCTTTAGACAATTTTAAAAATAGCCATTGGAAAATACAAAATGGGTTAAAATCCATTTTTTTCATTAATTTTCAACTTCATTTGAATGTGTTTTGTCTTAATCATTTTTTATATGATTTTTCATATTTTAGTAGATTTATTTTTTCAATACTTTTTTGACCTCCCGGGACTTGCCTGGTTAGAGCGGTTGAATTGGTCAGTTCGACCGCTTTCAGGCCCATGTCTAGTTAACTGATTCGGCTTGATTTTGCGAACACTAGTTTAGTGATAGCCAAATCACTACATCCATATTTTCAAGGGTATTATGGTAAAAAGAAAGACGACACTTTTGGGAAGCAAGAAAGTGAAATCTATATATGGAAATAAAAGAAGACATAATATCCTATCATTTTGAAGGTCACTCCTTTGGGGGTTATAGGAATGGATCTCTAATATGGAGATGGGTCTCAAAGAGAGAGAGACATGGCCTTTCAGAGAGAGGCGGTATTCCCACGAATTTTGGGTTGGCTAATGCTTTTACTTTTAGAGAGAGAAACTCTCGGTTGGTCTCGAGGTTATCTTTTCGGTAGCGGTATTGCGGTGGGAAAGAATGTATTGATCGACTGTATTGCTCGGTCGAGAGAGCGAGTTTTGAAGGGAAGATCGGTGATGGACTTTTACGATGTTTAGAGATATGTATTACCTCTTGTAACCCAAAACTGTACTCTTCATTGTGATAGTGGATTTCTAGTTGCCGAAGACGTAAATGTAGCCCTACAGGATGAACCACGTAAATTGTGTGTTGTGGTGGTGTGCTTTTTTTATGTTTGCTTTATTTTTTGTACTCGATTTATAGTTGTATTCATCTATTTCGCATTTAGCCCATCATGTACACGATCTTGGGTGGGATCGCAGTTCCGCAAACTAGGATTCTGAAAACCCTACATGAATTTACTTTTACTACATATTTTTTGCTTTTCAATTACTTTTTTTTTTTCTTTTTTTAATTTTTTTCGGGCTAAAAAACCCTATGATGAACTCCCGAGTAGCTCGCGTCGGCGGGGGACGAGTTCCCTCGGCCGAGGCAAGTTTCAAATTACTAGATTAATTGATGTCCTATTAGTTTTCCGTGAAGTTCTAAATAATAATAGACTTACGTTTGACCTCACAATCTCAAAGGTTGGCAACAATGGCTTCTATCGAGCAGAGGGTTTCAACCCAAGCTCGAGATGAAGTACGTTCAGCATCTTTTCCTTGCTTCAATGTTTAGAATATTCACCCAAAAAAATTTTGATTAGAATAGATTTTTAGTTTTTCATAAAAGTATTTGTAAAGGAGTTAGTGTACCATGATTTGGATATCACCAATAGGGGATATGAAAGTATATGTAAAGGAATTAGTGTACCCTGATTTGATAGCACTACTGGGGATGTGATTCCATAAGCCAGCCTGCGAGCCAGTATACGGTATATGCCATGCATCCAAGATGAAAGGAGAAGAGATGAAATGTGCAGATCGCAAAAACAGACTCATTATACCTCAATTTTTATGAATTAAATTTAATTTTATTTTGAACACCTCCTTGAGACCTACATGTTCACAAAATTTGGGTTCCATCAGTGCCCTATTTTGCTCAAAATCCTACTAACTTACATGTCTTGGGCATTCATTGTTCTTCTTTGATCTTGGTCATTAGGCCTATGCTATACAAAGAGACCATTTACTTAGTAATATATAGATGTCACAGCTCTATCAAATTTTAAATCGGATGGTTGTGAGTGTGTCATTGACTAAAATCAAATTTATTTAAAAAAAACGTGTTTTAAACTTTGTAACAAACCCCAAGCCATTCAACTTGACATCTAATGGCTCGGAGCAATTGTGAACTTTCTTGTAACAAAAAAAAATGATATCCTAGTATACACTTCCTATGGAAAAAATTCTTCTCATGTTTGGATGGAAATTACGCACCCCATGATGGTAGAAATTTTGCCAAAAACCCAAAAATTGATGGATAGAACAATAATTTTGCTCAAGCATCTCAGTAAAAGGCGTCTCTCCTTTGTAGATATTTTCGTTTTCTTGATATACACTCATCTGTCTATTGGATTTGGTGCTATCCAAAATTATCAACATTAGGAAATCCCATATTATGTGGAGTGAGATATTCCCATAGTAGGATTAATATATTTCTTTATTATGTGAGATTGATATTAATATTAATTAGTTTCTTAAAAGAAATAGACATCCAAAAAGATTGAGCCTCTTGAATATATATATCTTTGTCTTTTTAGATATAATTCACATCAATAGGAATTTCCTATTTAGTATGGATTTTAACCTTATATATATATATATATATATATATATATATATACATATATATAAAGCTGGGATTAGCCCACTAGCTCATATGAACATATGAACCCAACGGTCCAGATTGAATCTGAGTCGATATGACGATCACGGACGTCTGGTAGTATTTGAATTTTATTTATTTTTTTACATATCCAAATCATTTAAAATTTTAAGCGTGTGTTTATCAAGAATAGATGAATATTCAAAAAATATCAAAAAATTATTTTACACGAAATAAATTGATTAAAATACCATCGAAAAGTTTTAGGGGTATTTTGGTTATTTTGGTTTTCATGAATAATTTCTTTTATATGTTTATTAGGTACGCCTTGATGAGAAGAACACACACCTAAAATTTCAAGTGATTTGGATTTGTAGAAAAAAATATAAAATTCAAGTACTGTCAGACATGTATGATCGTCAGATCTGCCCAAATTCAATCTGGGCTGTTGGGCTCATATGTTCATATGAGCTAGTGGGCTCATCCCAGATTTTTAATTTATATATATATATATATATATGAGATAAAAGTGCAAAAAATTTGTGTCCTATTTGGGTCACCATATGGGAATGATGGTTCTTCTAGAGAGAGAGAGGGTGTGCATTAGATTTAATTTCCTCTTAGAGAAGAGAGCTTTTTATGTAGTGAAACATTATGATGGTACCCCCCGAAGATTTCTCAAGAATGAAAGGCTTGTTTCTTGTAGAGTAGCAGTTCGCATGGAGATTTTGGGTGGTTCCCCTTTTAGTGAGATAAAGTCTTGTTTTTTCTTAAAGTTCCTCTTCCTAGACAGTAGTCTAGTTATTGTCTCGTCTAAACAGTGGTCTAGTTATGGAATAGAGATGAGAGATCGACAATGGTGATATTTGGGAGAGCAGGTTTAAAAGGGTTTGCTCGACTTGGATTTTTGGGTTTTTGTCGAGGTTAGAGAGGTAACTCTATGTACCAAAATCTTTGATTTAACTTTCATTGGTACAATTGATTTCAGTTTGCCGTGCCCATGGATGTAGCCCTTTTTGAGTGAGCCATGTAAAGATTTGTGTTCTTATGATATGTGTTTCATATTTTATTTGTCAAAAATCAACCCATAGGGTTTTAAGCTTTCGCACGCACAACACTGTCCCCTTTGAAATGATAATTAAGGGGTTGATCATGTAATCTTTTCACATGTGCTCAAAACAAGTAACAAGTAAGTTATATTGGCAATTGCCATATACTAGCCAAAGACAAAGAATGACATTGGCTCCAAATACATAACAAAGTAACTCATGAAAAACCCTATTTGAACCACCATAACAAGCCCTGTGGTGAGACCCAATCTCTCACTGATGTTGCAAACTAATAAACAAGCCTAGCCCAATATTGTCATAAACAATCCATCATAGGTAGTCATAAATGTTGCATGATCTTTTTCATAGATGTGTAAGTTCCTACAACTGCAATAATGCAGCTCAGGAGCACAATCCCCACTATGACCACCATCTCCACCTTTCCATGCTTTGAATTCTTGGTGATCTTCAGGTAAAAAAGGCAAGGCAAGCACAAATTCAAGGTACTACTGAGAGCTGATCCAACCAAGGCCAACAAATACCCAAAGAATGGAACTGTGAGAGCTACTATAACAGTGCTAGCCACCAACATTGTCCTAAATAGAAGGCTCACATGTCTTCTTTTGCATAGGGGCACTGCATCTTCTATTGCAATCACAATCGGGGCAACAGCAATTGCATATTTCACAAGAGGAGTTGCGACAATGGTGTATATAGCAATCTTGGAGCTGATCTTTCCTTTTGGAAGATTCAGAGTGATTTGAGAGTTCAGATGTTGTCCATACATTAGGTACCCTGATACTGCCATTAGGGCATAGCTCAAAGCAGCTGTTGTAATACAAAGAATTATCACCTGCATCAGTGCAAGAGAAATTTTTATGATGCTCTTTTTTTTGTTTTTGTTTTCTTTTCATTGGGAAGATATCAAATGCTTCAAAGAATCCCTCAAGATACATCTTAGATTACCTTGCTAAGAAGTACCAAGTCCTTGATAAATAGTCTTCACAGATTAGAAGTATACAGCGAGTGTAACTGAAAATTTCAAGCTTTTGTAGTTTTTCAAGGAAAGTTTTTCAAATATTGTTAAACAAAAGTCAAATTTACTTACTCTCCATTTGTGGAAAAAATTGAGTGTTTATTAAAGAAATAATAGTGAGTTTTCCCTCAATGTATCGACTGTTCGACGAAGTGGTTGTATAAATCCTCTTCACGAGTATTGCAGCATCATTTTTGAAAAGATTAAGTTGTCTCTATTTCTTCTTACATAGCAAGGTATGTGTCAGAGACAACTCCTTTATTTATAAGAACATCAGACAAGTAAGAAAAGGATGACTAGGCTTGAGGGATATTAAGAACAGGGATGGCATGTAATAATCCATAGGGGTTTAAGTGAGCACCCACCTTCTAACTTTTTGAGGTCCTACATGATGCAATAACTTTTGTCAGACCAGTGATCAAAAAATCATTGAAACGGCTCTTACTCGACCAAGTCACTTGGACTCAACATAGTGCATGGTCTGGATGACTAACCCTAAAAATTGGTCAAAACATGAGTTCAAGATTCTTATATCTCTTTTATTGAGACTTGGTGTTCGTAAGTCCTGTTTCTTAAACGTGGCGTCGTACAAAAAGCTCACAGAAGTGGGCACCTTTTACTGAAATTCTTACAAAGCACCACAAAGTAAGTCACAAAACAAATGATTCCAAAGGATATCTAAAGCAAGTGACATTACTTCTCGCATACATATCCTTGTTAAAAACGATTAAAACATAAAAAATTAGGGGACCATCACAATGTAACTACCAAATCAAATTTCTAAGTGTATGTAATTGTAAACTTACTCTCATGGACTTGCTCCTGTCTTTCATAGAAGCCCTGATAGTGGGGAACACACCATGTCCTGAGTAACAAAATGCATATATACTAGCAGCTGTGGGCAATCCTTTAATATTGAAAAGCCTTTTTCTTGCATGAAATCCGACTCCACCAAACAAGCCAGCCCATATAACAGAGCCCACTACAATTATAGGAGCCAAAACCCCACAAGCTGAGACATAAGCTAGAGGCCCCAAACCTCTTAGCCAAACAGTAGGTAATATTATCAAGGCAGATAAGAGGACAAAAGCTTTGCTTCCTTTTATTCTCAACCCTCCGAGTCTGAAACTCATATTTGGAAACAAGTTTTCCAAATTATCACCCTCTAGTATCAACAACTCCACTGCAAACATGTACATTGAGAGACATAGAACTACTGAAGCAAAGATTTTTCCTTTGTAGCCGAAGGCTACGTTGGCGATGTCGGGATAGGTACGAATTTGCGGATCCGCATTCATGCATTGGATGAGAAGTGAACCAGTATAGCAACATATGATGGCCAGAAGAAAGAGCAACAGTAAGCTCATCCATCCAGCTTCTGATAATGCATAGGAAACTGATAATATACCGATTCCTGATTAAGCAAATGGAGAAACAATCGTAGAGCCTCATAAAAAACATTGTAAACACAAGGACAGATATTAACACACATACATGAGGGAGGGACAGAGAGAGGGGGCGCATCTTAAGAAAGCAACGGAACTAGCACAAATAATCATACGGAAATAAAGTTCCATGAAGCATCTGAAATATAACCCCCATCTCTCTCTCTCTCTCTCATACATATATGTTAGGGTGCGGTTTCTATAGAGCCGAGGCTCCAAACAATCCAAGTAAAGTGCACCTTCAAATAGTGTTGCGAAATATGGTTTCGAAATCTTTGTGATAGCTTTAAAATATATTTTCATCTTTAATAATAAAATTTTAAGCTTAAAAAAAAGTGTCGATCGAGCAGATCCATGAAAATCGAAAATATTGAAAATCGACGGTCCAAAAATGCATTACAAGATGCACTGTTTCCAAAATTTGAAATCCATTTTTTTTTTCTCATATCCATATATCTTGATGTCGAGATGATCAATTTAAAGATATTTGGGCATCAAAACAATCTCTTCTAGTGAAATTTTTTAGGTAAGCTCTAATTTAATTGTTTAGAGCCTCAGCTCTATGTAAACGTTTTCCTATATGTTATACATCTATGTGTATGCCTATGCAGCTAATACATATGTATGGGTAAATTTATAACATGTATCCCTGTTTATGTGTGCGCGTTAGAGAGAGAGAGAGAGAGAGAGAGAGAGAGAGTACGTACGTTCCTACGAGTAGTCGTACTACTAGTGTGACTAGTTCGTTATAATAAGTAGTTAGTTAATAACTATTAGTTAGTTAGGTTAGGGTAGTTAAGTTTAA